TACAAAACAGTTGTGTTTTACTGCTGCACTTCATAATGCAAATCTATGAGCTGGGGCTTGGTCTTGCTATATCAATCTGAATAGATCAAACGCAGGCTCAATGAAAGGCAAACAGAAAACAAATATTTCTATGTGCCCTGTTTACAACATAAAGCTGTGTTGTGGTACACAAAAATGCAGTGTTGTACACATAAATGCAGCATGTCTACATTTTTATACACCTCACTGCACCTCAATGCATTGCGGAGAATAGTTGACTGAAATGTTATTTTGTGACAATTCAGTAGTTCTAAAAAAAGAAAAAAGGTAAACAGTGTTATGCATTGCAGCAATGCATCCCACCACCCCTCAAAAATGCATTTGGACTGGTGTGAACAAGCCCTTAGCAACTCATTGTGACCAATATACTCCATAGCAGTTTGACAGATTTGGGCATAATTGGTGGACACAAAAAGGCTTCATGGATATTTACTCACTTCTCAACGCAGATGGTGTGAAGTCCTTTGGACTACTTATGGGAAAGGGGATGATGAGTCCATTAAAATGGTAAAATGTTCCAGGCAAAGTGGGCAAGTGCTTGGACTTGTAAAACAGTACTGGCAAAGAAGCCATCTCCTTGCTAGCTGCATGTTCAGACAACCATGGGGGGTAGAGACAGTACCCTGGTCATTCACCCAGCTCTAAGCTTAGGTTCACACTACTGAAGGTGTGGGAATCCCTGTAATTCTTATACACTCCAGAACCTAAAGCCAAAACATGCTTCTCTGTAGAAGATGCACGGATGTGCCTGAAGAGTATGCCTAAAATCACCTCCGGATTAAAACGGAATACTGCCTCCAATATAATGACTTAGAGATATTTCACTAGTTTCTCAGAAATACATTACAAATTTACTAATGACAGGAATCTCCAAAACAGAAGAGATACAGTATATGTATTTTGATGTTAAGAAAAATGCATATACTTATAATACATCTACACCCTGTTCCAAATTATTATGCAAATGATATTTTTCTCATTTACCTAAATAATTGATGTAAATAACAGTCAGCATAATTCTCATGTTATCAACTATTAAGAGTACAATTCACATTTTATTGAACAAACCTCCTAATGATAACAGTATTTTTTTTAAACAAAAAAAACTTACAATGCACTCTTCCAAATTATTACGCACAGTAAGTTTCAAAACACTTTATAGGTTGTAAAGAACTGAAAATTGTCATTTGTTGTGTTTGCAGCATATTTACTGAAATCAAAAGCTATTTCAATCAAAATTCTGACATTTTAACAGGTCACGTTCCATTTTAACATAGGACCCCTTATTTGATAGCAGCTTCACAAGTCTTGCATCCATTGAACTTGTGAGTTTTTGGACAGTTTCTGCTTGAATTTGTTTGCAAGATGTCAGAATAGCCTACCAGAGCTGCTGTTTGGATGTAAACTGCCTCCCACCCTCATAGATCTTTTGCTTGAGGATGCTCCAAAGGTTCTCAATAGGATTGAGGTCAGGGGAGGATGGAGGCCACACCATGACTTTCTCTCCTTTTATCCCCATAGCAGCCATTGATGCAGAGGTATTCTTTGCAGCATGAGATGGTGCATTGTCATACATGAAGATGATTTTATTACGGAAAGTATAGTTCTTCCTTCTGTACCAGGGAAGAAAGTGGTCAGTCATAATTTCCACATACTTTGCAGAGGTCATCTTTACACCTTGGGGGACCCTAAAGGGGCCAACCAGCTCTGTTCCCATGATTCCGGACCAAAACATGACTCCACCACCGCCTTGCTGATGTCACAGCAGTTTTGGAACAGGATGGCCGTCCACCAACCATCCACTACTCTATCCATCTGGACCATCCAGGGTTGCACGGCACTCATCAGTGAACAGGACTGTTTGAAAATTAGTCTTCATGTATTTTTCTGCCCAATGCAGCAGTTTCTGCTTGTGAGCATTGGTTAGTGGTGGCCGAATAGAAGGTTTATGCACAGTTGCAAGACTCTGAAGGACTCTACATCTTGATGTCCGTGGGACTCCAGAGGCACCAGCAGCTTCAAATATCTGTTTGCTGCTATGTAATGGTATTTTAGCAGCTGCTCTCTTGATCCGATGCATGGATCTGGCAGAAATCTTCCTCAATGTGCCTTTATCTGCACGAACCAGTCTGTGCTCTGAATCAGCCACAAATCTCTTAATAGTGCGATGATCACGCTTAAGTATTCGTGAAATATCTAATGTTTTCATACCTCGTCCAAGGCATTGAACTATTTCACTCTTTTCAGCAGCAGAGAGATCCTTTTTCTTCCCCATATTGCTTGAAAATGGTGCTCTGCTTAATAATGTTTAGGGCTCGTTCACACTTGACTGTTTTACCAACTCTTGCCAAATGCCCCTATAGCGTTTGGCAAGCGTTGGTCCGGCGTTTGCGGAGCGTTTTTTTAACGCTACGCAAATGCCGCATGCGCGGTTCAGCGGCAGTTGCTAGGCGTTTGCCGAGCGTTAAAAATGCCCTACAAACGCCTATAATGAAGTTTGAATGGTGTTACCGCTCCGCAAATGCCCCGCAACCACCGGCCGTTTGCGGAGCGGGCACCATAAACTAGAATAGGAGGCTTCAATGCCTCCTGACTCGACCAGAGGCATCCATTTTGCTGCGCCGCGAACGTTCCCGTTAGAACAGCACCATGTGCTGCAATGTGCAGAATTGTCCGAGGCGCTTGGGAAGCAGTAAAAACCTTGTGACACTAATCTCCATAGCCCTGTGGTGACCAGCAAGTACTGCTCTAGGATATCAAACCAGCCCATTCTGCTGTGTGTGTTAAAGGTTCATATAAAATAGGCTGCCCAGTGCACCAAAATGCACCAAAAATTGTGTAACATAAATAAAATGAAAAAGTTCCAAGTTGTTTTAATGATAGTGTGGAACTGTATTATATATTCATTTAGGCAGTACCAAAAATTTGTGCACCAAACATTTTTGTGATGCCGTTCAGAATAAATGACACTGAATTACAGCAACAATGCAATGCAGTGTCATTCTGAATGCCAATTCAATCTCAGCAGGTTTGGATTGCAACAATGACCGAGATATTTTTTTTGTTGGGCAGCGATTCCTTGAATATAAAAGTAATCCTAGCTGCTAGGAAGCCGCTGGATTACTTTTACAGGCAACAGAAGTGGGTCCCACCCCCTACCGCCACTTTTACCAGGCCCTCCCAAGTGATCAGGGAGAAAAGAGGACCTGCCATTGTCTATGCCATCCCAAGAGATGTTGTTCATCACTTGTGATGGCAATAAAAGTAATTAAAAAATATATAAATGTACAGTGTAAAAATAAAAAAATAAATTAAATAAAAAAAAAAAGTTGTAAAGTGCCCCCATGCTTGCGTCGCGCGCACACGCACGCACGCGCGCATACATAAACAGCGATCGCACCACATATGTGAAGCATCACTGCAAGCATCAGAGCGATAGAAATAATTCAAGCACCAAACCTCCTGGGTAAATCTAAAGTGGTATGCTGTAAAGGCTTTTAAAGCCTTGCCAATGGATACATTAGCATACAGTAGTTTATCGCTATTCCACAGGCGCAATTTTAAAGCATGACATGTTTGGTAACTATTTACCTGGCATAACATTATCTTTGATGTTTTACGAAAAAAATGGGCATTATATTGGGCTTGTGTGCATTAAAATTCATTAAATTGTATTTTTTCCCCAAAAATTTGCATTTGAAAAACAGCTGTGCAAAAACCACGTAATATAAAAAATTGCAACACCCATCACCAATATATACATTCTTTTGTTTTGTTTTTTTTGCTTTGATCCAGTGACTTTTTACTTAAAATAATCAGTAACGTAGGAGTTGAATAAGAAAGTGGTTCTAAAGCCTAAAGGTTTTTTACCTTAAGGTAATAAAGCTTCTGTGTACAAGGGTGTGGAAATTTTGTAAAAAACTACTTGTCCAAGGGACTAAATTGGGGTACCAATCTACTTGTCCCTCATGACAAATTTTTTTTTTTTTTTTTTTTTTACCAAAACCGTATTTAATTAAGGCGGACTATCCCTTCACTCAGCAATCCCACCTCTGACCATCCCTACAGAGATGTCCTGCGGGGAGGGTCCGTGCTGGCGTGCCCGGCGCGGGGAGGGTCCGTGCTGGCGTGCCCGGCGCGGGGAGGGGTCCGTGCTGGCGTGCCCGGCGCGGGGAGGGTCCGTGCTGGCGTGCCCGGCGCGCGGGGGGAGGGTCCGCGGGGGGGGGGGTGGCGTGCCCGGCGCGGGGAGGGTCCGAGGTGGGCGTGCCCGGCGCGGGGAGGGTCCGAGGGGGTGGCGTGCCCGGCGCGGGGGGTCCGAGGTGGCGTGGGGGAGGGTCCGAGGTGGCGTGCCCGGCGCGGGGAGGGGGTCCGAGGTCCGAGCGGGGAGGGTCCGCGTGCCCGCGGGGAGCGGGGAGGGTCCGAGGTGGGGTCGAGGTGGCGTGCCGGCGCGGGGAGGGTCCGAGGTGGCGTGCCCGGCGCGGGGAGGGTCCGAGGTGGCATGCCACCTCTGATTACCCCTAAATTCAGCAATAAAGTACAATTCTGTATGTAGATGTGGCAGGTAGAGTAGATAAGTAGTAATAGGACAGAGTCTTGTGACGATGGAGTGGGGACGAGCCATCTTGTCTATGTCAATAGATGCAGAAAGGGGGGATAGGAGGCAAGCCAGCACAAGTGCCCCCATAGGAAGCTTACTATGGGGGCGTGCGCTGAAGAGGAGCAAGGAATGCTAACAGGGTATCCGAGAACAGAAGGATCAGGGCTGCGCTGTGCAAAATCATTGCACAGAGCAGGTAAGTATAACATGTTTATTATTTTAATAGAAAAAGAAAAGCTCTGATATCACTTTAAAGTGTTACTAAACCCATAACAGTAAAATCAGTCTGTATATGCAGTAAAGCATGCTTATCATACTCACTGTGGAACCTAAGGGGTTAATCTTTTGCACTGTGTAAAAATGCTGTTTGATCCCGACTTCTCTGATCCCACCATTCTTCCAGTGCCCCCTTATCTCCTGATAAGACATATCGTGTGGAGTCACCCTGCATATGCTCAGTTTGGTGTGTATAACTTAGAGGTATTATTTTTCGTGGGCGATTGCACATGATCAGCACAGAGCCAATCAGCATTGTCCAGACAGAGGTCAGGGTTTCTGCAACCTCTAATAGCAGAATGAAAACTCCTCCTGCAAGCTTTAACCAGTGCTCTGCTGAACACTGTAGAAGTCACAAAACTGCTCTAACTGCTGATGAGAAAAGGTATTTATCAGTTTATACAGTATTTACTAAAATAATTGCATTTCCATATTCTGTGTACTGTGGGAGACCAGATTTAGTGAATGCAGGGTCCTGGGTTTAGCAACACTTTAACATACAAAGTTCATCTTCACAGCCTGCCTCTTACCAGAATGGATTCTGAGGGGAAAAAAAAACCCACCAACATTATTTCATTAAAAATGGTTTTAAACATTCAGCAGCTCAATTTCACCTTTTCGTAAAAAAAAAACACAAGCTGGCTGGGACTATAGTGTTGCTTATGGGTGCAATCTATGCCACATGAAAACAGCTGACCTACAGCTCTGTCAGACTGAAGCACACTGCTCTTATCTGACTTGCATAACACCAGCTGCTGCTCTCTGAGCAGATTACCACAAATGACTTGAAGGAAAATGGACACCTCTGATGACAACACATAAAATGGGAAGGAGAGGGGACCCAACATCCTGTCAGTCAAGATGAAAGTGGTAGAAACAGGTGCGTGCACATGAAATGACACCCTCTTTAAAAGAGATATGTGCAGAAAAACTGGACTTCACAGTTATGGGTAGCTGAGAACACTTTGCCCACAATTACACCATATACAATGGATCACAGTTAACAAAACCAGTGGAGTTGCTGCAGCAGCAGGCAACAGCCTAGAAGCTTTTTTTGCAAAGTTAAAAAAAATTAAATCTGCTTATTACAACACCTGTCTAGTTCTAACTAGAATTTAACTTTTCAATTGTAAAATAACCAATGATCAGTTAAAGTTGTTGTAAAGGCTTTTTTTTCCTAAAATAAAACGTTTATACTTACCTGCTTGGTGCAATAGTCTGGCACGGAGTTGCCCCTTATCTGCTCTTCTGGGGTCCCCCACAAGAGCTGTCCACTCCTCTTCTGCATATGCCTCCATAGCAATCCACTTGCTATGCAGTCATGTTTCCAAGCTGTTCTGTGTGCGTCTACAGACATACACAGCGTGGTGCGGCCCACCCCTCTGCACAAGATTTGATTGACAGCAGCAGGAGCCAATGGCTCACGCTGCTCTCAATATGGCCTAAGAAAAGAGTTCGAGAGAGACCAGTGCTGATGCAAATGGTCAGAGCACTGGATCGAGAGAGGGCAGAGATAAGTGCTGGGAAAAGGAATGGGTCATGGGACATTTTTACCTTGACACATGGATGCTTTAAAAAAGGAAAACATTTACAGTACAGGCCCGTTTGCAGTGTGCCAATGAACATCTAAATGATTCAGAGAAGGACTGAGAGAAAGTGCTGTGGTCAGATGAGACCAAAATTGAGCTCTTTAGCATTAACTCGACTCGCTAAAGTTACATGCTGACTTTGCAGCACTGGGGGGCCAATGGACGAGGCCATGTATTGTAAAATCTTGGACGAGAACCGTCAACCCTCAGCCAGAACACTGAAGATGGATGGGTCTTCCAGCATGACAATGATCCAAAACAAAGGAGTGGCTCAAGAAGAAGCACATTAAGATCATGGAGTGGCCTAGAAAGTCTCCAGACTTTAATCCTATAGAAAATTTATAGAGGAAGCTGAAATTTCAAATTGCGAAGCAACAGCCAAGAAACCTTAAGGATTTAGAGAAGATCTGTAAAAAAGAGCGGACCAAAATTCCTCCTGAGATGTGTGCAAACCTGGTATCCAACTACAAGAAGCATCTTACCTCTGTGCTTGCCAGCAAGGGTTTCTCCACCAAATACTAAGTCATGTTTTGCTTGGGGGATCAAATACGTATTTTACTCACTGAACTGCAACTCAATTTAGAACATTTGTATCGTGTATTTTCTGGACTTTTAGTTGATATTCTGTCTAACATTTAAAATACACCTATGATAAAATTTATAGATCCTTCATTTCTTTGTAAGTGGGCAAACGTACAAAATTTGCAGGGGATCAAATAATTGTTCATTTTCCCTGATAAAGCCATGTGACCCGGTGGCGTAACGCGTAGGGGAGGGGCTCTGACGTCACAACACTCGTAAGATAGGAGAGTGATACAGCTGGCTGCAAGGAAGCGGTTGGAAGATCTGTACCTATAGAATCCAATTGGAGTTATTTTATGTGACGTGCTTTATTACATCATACATGTGAGTGGAAAACTGGAATTATTTTATCAATACATGTTTAAGGATAAAGCACTATGTTTTGGTCATCTCTTTTTGGTGCAATTGATGGAGGAGGAGAGCTAAGGAAGTGGAGATCTAGTGGAGGTGGATACACATGGTCATTGGTTTGCAGTATATAGAAGCATGGGGTGTTTTAAAAAAGCACTATGGCATTAAACATCTGTGAAGATACACAACAATTTAGAACTATTTCTATTTACCAATAGATGTTTATGTCACTTTTGGTTGTTGGTTTATTAGGTTGTGCATATAGGTGAAGTGCGGTGTGTGTATGGACGGATGGATGTATAGATAGAAAGATAGAACATCTCTGGCATACATGCACATTTCCTCACATTTTATCTTTTTAAACGTACTTATAAATGCAGCGGATATGCCTGAAATATGGTATACCTCTCTATACCTCTCTATACCTCTCATACCTCTATTTTTGACATGACAACACAGTGGGGGGGAATTCATTAAAGGTGTTGTAGAAATACATGACAGCTTCCCCCCCAGCACAGGCAAGGCGAGAACTGGTAATAATTCTTTAAGAATAAAGCTGTAAGAAGTACCTGCATTTGCCACGTCAGTAATATTACGGACACTGGCACAAATGCTTGCCTGAAATAGGTACAAGTAGTTCATAAGGTAACTGTCACCAGAAAAGTTCCCCCAAGATCATTTTTGGCTCTGATTTTAAGTTCTAACTACTTAAAGTGGACCTTTACCCCTTGCAACAGCTTTTTTGATTCTTGTTCCTCCTTCCACAACTGGATAAGCTTACGACATGTTTCTGACAATGTTTTCTGACTCTCTTTTCCTCTTTTTTTTTGCCTAGAAAAGAATGACATAAGGCCCTCTGCTGCCCTCCAGGGATTTTCGTGTCATACATCGCAGGAGGCAGTTTTACTGCACATACATGATTTTGGCAGATAAACCACAGGTCTTTTGGACCCAACAGAGCCCTACAGCATATCTGCACACAGACTAGGATAGGAACATGTCTGAGCTCACCCCTAATTGTAAGTGAGATCACTGAGGGCTGGCCCACACTCCATAGTATAAAAAATACCAGACTGCACTAGTAACAAATATAAAAATAAAATAAAATATAAATACATAAAATAAAAATGTCCGAGAAAAGAATATACATATAAATATAACTAAATCATACTAATCCCAAAACATATAACACAGTTGAAACAATCATAAAAAGTCCCAAAAAATTATTATTGTTGTGAAGATGAACAAAATAAAACGAAATCCACCAAGTGAATCCACCACCAAATAGACTGAATAAACTCACCAGAACAATATGCTGATTATATTATAAGCCAGCATAAACGCTTTTTTGCTCTGGGAGCAACGATCTGTAGACAGTTGAAACACAGCTTGGACAAAACGATTTCCTCTAATCCTGGAGCAATACTCTGCAGGAGACTCTGTAGATCCACTTCATACATATCCCATCCTATCCAAGGGGTACTGGAATGGCCACTCGGAATATATAAAAACAGAAGCTCATGGTGCAGTACCTCTTAAAAAATGTTGCTTTATTAAAACTAAAACACACTTACAAAAAATGGTGTCCAACCGACACCAGCATAAACAGCCAAGTCAGATGCCAATACATATGCACTGTAACGATACTAGGAACGCGCTGACATCACACCACTCAAGCCCCGCCCTACGCGTTTCGTCATTCGACGTCCTCACGGAGCCATAGTGTCAGAGGGAAATGGAGAGAGCTGGCTGCCGGCTGGAGCGACGAGTAAGGCAATTAAAACTGCTTTTTAAATGGTATCCTAGACAAAAACAAGCATTTATTCTTTACAGTGTGTGGGAGCCCCACTCCAAAGGTAATTTTGGAATTTTCCCCAAGTTCATTAATAAAGCACACCTATTTAAGATACAGTCATGGCCAAAAATATGGGTACCCCTGCATTTCTGACAGATAATGCACCATTTTGCCCAGAAAATTGATGCAATTACAAATGTTTTAGGCATTCTCATGTTTATTTCTTTTGTTTGTATAGGTATGACACAAAAAAAGTGAAGAAAAAATAAAGCCAAATCTGACATATTCCATGCAAAACCCCCAAAAAAGACTAGAGAAAATTAGTGGCACCTACTCAAAATGGTAAGAAATATTGCATTCCAAGTTTGTGATTCTCCTGTAATTTTAAATTAAACTCACCTGTATCAATGAACAGATCTTAATGTTCCTGTGTCCACTGTGCACAACACTGTCAAGAAGTTTACAGCCCATGGCACTGTAGCTAATCTCCTTGAACATGGACGAAAGAGAAAAATTTGATCAAAGATTGCAACAAAGGATTGTTCGAATGGTGGGTAAAGAACCTCGATCAACTTCCAGACAAACTTAAGCTGACCTTCAGGCATAGGGTACAACTGTGTCAGCTCACACTATATGTCGCACTCTGAATGAAAAGGGACGCTATGGAAGAGGGAAAAAGGAGGACCCCACTGAAGACACAAACATAAAAATGCCTGATTGGAGTTTGCCAAAATGTGCCTGAGAAAACCAAAATCCTTTAGGGAGAATACGCTGTGGACAGACAAAACAAAACAGCTTTTTGGTAAAGCCCATCATTCTACTGTTTTCAGAAAAAGCAATGAGGCCTTTAAAGAAAAGAATACAGTCCCTACAGTCAAACATGGTGGAGGTTCACTGATGTTTTGGGGTTGCTTTGCTGCTTCAGGCACTGGATGTCTTGACCGTCTGCATGACATTAAGGAATCTGAAGACTACCAAAGAATTCTGGGGTGCAATGTAGGGCCCAGTGTCAGAAAGTTGGGTGTCCATCAGAGGTCATGGGTCTTACAGCAGGACAATGACAAAAGCACACGTCAAAAAGCACCCAGAAATGGTTTC